CATCATTTGAGCACCCCGAAAAAAATTCTTGCATGTGCCCGCCTCGATTTGCGTGCACAACATCAATTGAACAAATTGGTAGTGCATATAGGGTATTTTCGGTGTTTTGAACACAACGACGCAGTCCATTTCACGATTAGGCGTCATTTGAGCATACCGATGGTAATTCTTGCATGTGCCCACGTCGATTTGCGTGCACAACCTAAATTATACAAATTGCTAGTGCATTTAGGATATTATCGATGTTCTGAACACAATGACGCAGTCCGTTTCAAGATTGTGCGTCATTTGAGCATACCGATGGTAATTCTTACATGTGCCCACCTCGATTTGCGTGCACAACCTCAACTAAACAAATTGGTAGTGTATTTCGGATATTATTGATGTTCCGAACACAACGACACAGTCCGTTCGTCAATCTGACATCGTTTGAGCAATGATTAGGATAATTTTTACATGGGCCGCCTCGATTTGCGTGCACAACCTCAATTAAACAAATTGATAGTGCATTCGGGGTATCGTCGATGTTCCGAACACAACGATGCAGTCTGTTATTCAATCCGACATTGTTTGATCAGTCTCGCGCTTTAATTTTAGGTGTCGGTCATCCCTTTTGGCTTGATCTCGTACGATTCGATTGCATGGAGCCTCGACCTAGCCGAATTCGACGTCCTGATCGCAACGGCGCCATCCATTTGGCAATCAGGATCGTTTGATCCTTCAAGTGACACGTGGCGCCAAGGTGCGTTCGCTTTACTCACCAGTTTGATCCTTTCATATGTGGTTTGAGGTATAAGGGCAACATATATATATAGAACAAAATGAGGACTCTTTTTTCCCTTTTAATAGCATTAGGATAAAATGCAAGTGCTTTTTATAAATAGAGATTTTCTTTAACATTTAATAGGCGGCCTACAGCCCTCTAGAGGGTCGATGTTGCTAAGTTGGTGAAACTCAACACATAGCCATTGTAAGAAGAGTCTTATGCATTCAATGCCAAAAACTCTCAAAATTATAGACTCAACAAACTCTTTCCTGACCACTATGATGACCCTAATTCATCCATTCAGAAGTTGCTCCTCTAAAGAAATTGAAGGTTAGGAAGACTTGCGGTTGCAGTGTTCGGCGAAAATATAGAAAGAAAGGACAGAAGAATTATATAGAGAGAAGAAGGTGAGTGGAAATTGAAATCTATTTCATTCAACTCTTTTTGGCTTACAATGATCCTAATATTTCCCTATTTAAAAAATAAATAATTAATAAATTAGAAAACATTCAAATTCTATAACAATCATGAAAATATGAATTACAACTTAAAAGCAGAAATAATCTTTTAGGATCTAATAACTACTCCATGGAAATAGTAACAACCTCCCAAAAAATAACTGCTACTTAAAAAATCTAAGAAATTGATTGAAACCCAAAAGATAATCAAGGAATTCAAAGGAAGAATCTCTAGCAACATTCCTATTTTTGATCAACCAAAGCTTGGGGATAGTTTTGTTGAAGAATTTGTTTGAATCCTGCATCTTCAGGCATGGCTAGCCCCCTTTACTAGGCTTCAGAGGATCATTCGAGAGTTATTGGGAGAGTTGTAGATGACCTGGGAACTTCTTAAAGGATCTTGGGATCCTCTTGGATCATGGGCATCTCTTTTAAGTTCCACATGCTTGTGGAGAGAATATTTTTCTTTCTTCTGAGCACTATTCAAGGGCATTTACATCTTTACTTGTGGTGCTCCTGATATTGTTGGTGAATGGGCTAGAATAACTTGTGGAGCTTCTGGCATAATAACTCTTGATTGTGCCCACAAGATGCTATCCTTGTGTCGAATTGTATGTTGATTTAAAAATTTCTAATGAATACCTTTCCCAACAACCATTATTATTAAAAGAATTAAAAAAAATGTTTCTTTTTGAATTAGAATGCATTCACATACCTCATAAATAAGGATTCCCTTAGAATGGTTGACATGCTTCAGCAAAACAAAGATGGGGATGAATTTCACTCATTATTGGTACTCCGTATTGCAAACACTAATTTTGGTTCATCTTATGCGATAAATTTGTGCATGTCTTATGCATACTTGTCAATTGTGCAAAATAGTGCATGCCACTGTGGACAATGAGGCGTGGCGCATCGACGGCGCTATCCATATGGTGCGGTGCAAGGGTTCAAAATGGCGTGTGATATTTGCGCCATGTGGACAGTGGCGTATGGAACATGGCGCAAATAGCGATCGTTATTTTGTTTAGGGATTTTTAATATAATTATTAATATTTTTAATATTTATATATTTTTTATTTATAAGATAATTTAATATTTAATTTTTAAATGTGATTAAAATAGTTTAGTTAGGTTTTATTATTTTGCTGCCCTAATCCTCACGATTCGTGAGTCACACACGAATGAAGGTTGCTACCAAACTGTTCGACACATTTGAAGGAAGCGAGTGCGAGCCCGAGCCCTTCGTCTGATTCGCTTCTTCGTCCGTCTGTTTCTTTCGTCACGTGAGTCCGCCGCTGTTGGATACTCATTTGTTTGATTCCGCCACAGTTTAGGGTTCGCCCGTCTGATTCTGCCGCTGCTGGATCTATCTTCCATTTGATTCAACACGAAAGAGGTTCGCTGGAAGGTAACAATCTCTTATATGTTTCTTATTCCTTTCATCTTATCCTCTGGTATTGCTTAATCCGTTTGATTCCGCCATTGTTGGATCCTCTGTTAGAGTTTTGGACGAACTTAGTTTTTTTTTCTGTTAAATTTGGATCCAAGATGGCATTTGGGAAGTAGCAGTCATGTGATTATCGACATGCAAGTAGGATTTGAACAGTAGCAAGAATTGTAAGATAATAGAAAAGTAGCAACAAACTTCAATCATGAAAATAAAAATTGTAATCTAACGGTAGCAACAAACTTCTAGAATCTAGAATGCACAAACACGGGCACGGGTATACAGACACGAGACACATCATTGAATATGTAAGATACAAACAGATATTGGACATAATATTATATTTTTAATATTTTAAAAATAAATAATAGTGCATATAAATTAAATGAAATAAATAGAACAAATTTGTAAAGTTATAATAGTGCTCATTGTTTTTAATGCACATTGCACAATACACATAATGATACATACAAAATATAAGTAAGAAAATTTCAACTATTTCTATAGAAATGGAAACAATAGAAAATATCAACTATTTCTTAAAATCTAGGAAATCCTAAATATAAGTAAAAATTTTAAATAAATCTACTGCAAAAATTTTATGCTGGATTGACAAGAACTTGCTGATAGAATTGTAAGAAAATTTTTGCTTGAGTCCTTACCAAATGCCATTTTGGTATGAACATTTAAATCCCATATCATCAGGCATGATTAGTTGGCCCCTTCTTAGGGCTTGCTATGATCATTCTGAAATTGTTGGGAAACTTGTAGATGACTTGAGAACTTCCCAAAAGAATCTTGGATAATTCAGTTGGATTTCTCCTTTGTCAGATCTTCTTTGGAATAGATTTCTCATTTGTTTCTCTTCCCACGATGAATTTACCATAGGGTGGATTTTTGAAGGATAACAATATACTTAAGGATCTCTAGATCTTTCTCTAGAAATATTTCTAACTCATCGAATTAGAGTTCGTACCCCAGAGGAATTGACAGTGCCAGTTGACTGTTTCGGTTTTCAATAAAGAGTCATTGTGTTTATTGATTTAGTCTTATTTAGCTTTTCTGATCACGCCTTTCATCATAATTATAGCTTTTATTAACATGATTATCCCATCAATTTTTTATTTGAATTATTTTGTTATAATTCTTAATTTGTCATTTGTCAAGAGTAGGATAGTTATTTGCCACTTAACTTGTTTTTTCCCTTATTTTAATTTTAATAGGGTTGTAAATTTATACTGCTACCAGAAATAGTGGGCCTTGGGTTGTAATTGAAAATGGTTGATTAAGGAATAAAGAAGCTGGTTTCCTTTGGATTTCTCTCGTTGTCTGTCCTTTCTCTTAGCTGTGGGCCTCTTCTTTCTTTCTTATCACCTCTTGCCTCTATTCCTTGAGAATTCATTCTTTTAATTCTTTCAATCTTCATCTCTTTTATTTTGCCAGTTCTTCATCTAACATTTGATTTTTCTCTTCTCATAAATTAAGGTAAAATGCAAGTTAAAAAATTCATGATTTGTTTTTGATGATGCGCCACCTTGCATCATAGATGTTTCTTCTGCAATCTCAACTTCCGGTCAAATTATTAGGTCTGGTCACCGGATCTAAATTTGCGTCTGGATTGCCTACGCTTTTAATGCTCTTTTACTGCACTTTTGAAGTATTTTTACAAAATGACAACTAATACATAATTTTAATTGCATATTAGCTGCTCTTTTGCTGCCCTTTTACTGAGTATTTGGAAAAATTAAGTAAAAGCGCAGCAAATACTCAATGAGTAAGATATTTGTTGCGTTTTTGCTGCGCTTTTGCTTTATTTTTCCAAATACTCAGTAAAAGGGCAGCAAAAAAACAACTAATAGGTAATTAAAATTATGTATTAGCTTGCCTTTTTGCAAAAAATATATCAAAAATGCATTAAAAGCGCACTAATCCGGACACAAATTTAGGTCCGGTGATCGGACCTGGCAACTTCTGCCACTTCGGCTTCAAGTTTTATTTTGACTGAAATGGCTCACCCCTTGCATTATAGATATAGAATATTTCTTTATTAATTTTGACCATAGAAGGTGTGCTATTGCTCCCTTGTATCGTTTTTGGTCATTTCCAGCTATAAAATGTTTATATACCAACAGTGCACCTGTTAATCAAGCGTTAAACCAGCTCCCACATATACTGTATTCCTTAAAATATTATAAAAAACATTCCACTAGTCATATAAAGAAATATTCTATTATTTTGCGGGTTTGTTGTAGAAACAAATGCAACATTAGCTTTCTAACATATCTGTGCAAACTTTTTGATGGTAATTTGACTGTTTCCCTTCCAGTCATTCGGCATCAAAGTTGGATACGGAGGAATCCACGGTGCTGCAGGCGGGAAGGAAGGATCCTCATCCCAGGCTGGTAACTGCTGCAGTTGAGCACCTTCTGCAGAAGCTATGAATGGTAAACTGTAATTTGCATCTCCATTTGACCTTCAATGACCTTAAAGCTTATTTTTTCAAACGTTGTGTACATCTTTTGGATTTCCATCAATCTCATTTATGTGTAGATTTGTATTTTTTTTTTTTTTTATGTGTAGATTTGTTTTTTTTTTTTTTTTTGAAAGATGAATTATGCTTCTTTGGTTTGTTTTGCTCTACTTTCTCCCTCTCTTTTCTGTATTTAGTTCTCTTTGAATGTTATGTTGCTGATGCTGATATGTGAACCAGTTATTATGTACAGGTGCTATTACGATATTGAGAAGACGAACGAGATAATTCCTGGAATGTTTATTTTACTTTGGATTATTTTAAGTATCCAATTTAGGTTTCGTTTGAGACGATTTTTTTCTTACTTTTTTAAACAATTTTTTAGTACAAAAATTTTCTGAATTTAAAACTTTTTACTAAAAAGCCGTTTTGGAAGTTTTCTGAATGAAGCCTTTGTCCGTTGCCTACTCAAATTTGAGCTAAAATTGTTATAAAATTAAAATTAATAGAAGATTTTGTTAAACCGCACTGAGGAGATTAAAGAGTGAAGGTATTTTGAAAATTTAAATTTTTTTACTTCTTAAATTTTTTAGTAATGGATTTTTTGGAATGTTGAAGTATTTTATAAAATTGATTGTGAAATTATTATAAGGAAAATATTTTATTGGTCATATTTTGATTGTAAAAGCAGTTTTTAATTGTAGAAGATTTTGAAAAAAGAGTAAGAAAATAATTGCTAAATGATAATATGATTGTGTTTTGAAAAAGATATCGTAAACAGATGCTATATCTTATTCATTAGCTAATGCCAAATACGGGAAGCGAAGCATAGTTTAAAATATTTTTTTATTTTAAGGCACAAATTTATCAATTAAGATATAAAAAATTTTCTTTTAGCAAACAAAAAATTAACCTAATTGTACTTGATAGTAAATGATGAGATTTGTGTAGTAAATTGAAATTTCAAAACTAAAATAAAGAAAATTTAAAAATACATCAAAGATTTTATAGTAGTTTGATTAATTTTGACCTACGTTCACTTTCCAAAGTCTTCCACTCAGGGTATTGTACTAACACTATAGTGATTCTCTTTTTGCCCTCACAGTAGAGTGGAGAAGCTCTTACAAGAATCACTTCAACTAAACCTGGTGCAGCGGAGAGCTAGAAGCTATGTCACCCGCATGGTGACGACAATGGACCTTCAATCATTTTTCATCCTCTTGGTGATGGCAGAGAACCGTCAATCTTTTCTTACCCTCCTAGTGAAGGCAGAGAACCCCAAGACTCTTGACTCTGAAGCTTCTCTCCCAAGAGAATCTTCAGGAACTGACAAAGGCCATAAGAGGAAACTAAGTGCAAGCTTACCCAGAGAAATCATTTGAAACCTTCACACTCCTCCCTCATACAAAGAACAATCTCCCTCAGAGTTCCTTCAACAGTCAAAGTCCTTTTTACAAAGACTTCAAAAGGTTACTTATGTAGTAGGCTTCAAAAAACCCTAATTTTCTAATTTGGCCCATCTCTATTCGTACAGTATCATCTGGGTTCGTAAAATATGATTAGTTTAAAAACATGACACATCCAGCCTGATGAAAATGGTTATTCAGACGAACTGTACAATTTTAGCAAACATATCGTATAGTGCAATCATAACTTTGTATAGTACGATTAGTTTAATTTTTTCTCTATTCATACAAGACCATTACGGGGACAATTGAAAATTGTCTTTGTCAATCGTTCAACACGATTCACATCGTACAATACGGTCCATGTAATATCAATAGTTTGTACATTACGATATAGATATTTTACTATATGATTAGTTCAAAAATTAAAGTTTCATCTAGTATGATATTTGGGATGACCAGATTTCTTCTCTGTCAAATGTACTGTATGATCAAGATCGTATCATAATATTAGCGACATTTAATAGGCATTGATCTGATTGACTAATCATAGGGATAATTTAAGTAAGATTTTGAATATTGTATAGTACGATTAGTTCAAAATTTATTTTTAAAATTCTTACTTAATTTATCTGGCGGCTAGGGTTTCTCAGATTAAAATAAATCAAATAGTAAGATCGGTATTATATAGTATGATTAATTCATTAGAATTAATGATTCAAGTAGTCTTTAGATCTCTTTTTCATATAATAGATCATACAATATAATTATAATTATATTATATGATTAGTTCAAAAAATTTTCATCTCAAATTTTTCTCACTCCCCGTGTGTGTGTGCACGGTCACTAATTTTGCATACACCCTTACATGACCAAACTCACGAAATAGAAAATATAAGAAAGTTAAAATTACATGCTCTTTTGATTGACATCCTATTCTACCCAAACTTTAGTCTTTAGAAATCTTGAGTGATGTATGATATACCTGAAATGTTAGTGCGCACAGATAAAAAAATATCCAATATATATGCTTGGAGAAATAAAATCTCAATCAATTATATTTGTTATTAACAAATCATAAGCTAGGAATCCTAGATTGCAACAATCTCCCCCTTTTTTATGATGACAAATATTTTTAGTTGAAAGAGCAAATTAATGTTGTTTTCTCCTAATCTCCCTCTCACTGGGTGATATATTTTAAAAATAGGGGAAAGATAATTTTTTATATTAATTAAAAAAATTTAAGAAATCAAAAGAATAAAAGAACACAAAAAAATTTATAAGCAAAAGAAAAGTAATTAATAAGTGCAAACATACAGACATCCAAACACTTACTCCTCCTTTTGACATCAACAAAAAGGAGAAACACATAAGACATGAAAGAAAATACAAAATATGAAATACATCACACAAAAACTAAAATTAGGAAGGCCCCTGATCAGGTCATGGTGGTGGTGGTAGTTAAAAATATTTGTGGATCGAAGAGAATTATTCTTGGATCAAGGAAAATTATTCCCCAAACCACCCCATATATGCTTCTTCTTGTTGTTGATTATGTGAGTTTATGTGGGATTCTAGTCCGTCGAGCCTTTGTATTATTTCCTCATGAGGGTAAGAGTGGTAGAATGGTGCATGTGGTGGTATTGGTATTGGATCTAGTACAAGTGCAGCTACAAGAGAAGCTCCCCCTTCTTTATCAAAATTAGATTCCTCGGGCTCTTACCCTCGTTGATGATCGAAAAGAAAATGGAAGGAAGCATCATTCTAGAAAATAGGTACATTGTCGGGAGATGCGGGGTTGGTAAGTTTGTATTTCTTTTCCATAATATAAGTAATAATGTGACCAAGGGTGATATGTTGCTTTCTCCTTGTTGAGGGAAATTGAATAGGGTTAGGTTTTGGATATAATCGACAAGCATTTGGGGTTCATCAAATTGGGTATCAGACATGATGAAGTATGTGACCAAGGAAAGGAGTGGAGTGATATTAACACGATCTCCACCTTTAAGTTTGATTGAGGTTTGAATAACATGATGGATAATACATGCTTTTTGTTTAAAGAGTGGACTAAAGGTTGGTGTTGATTTAGGGCAACATTTCAGGTAATTAGATTTACCGCACTCCAATCAAAATTAGTCATAAAGGCCATGGATTGGGGTGGAGGTCCTTTTGTGAAAAGATGGATGTATTCCCTTAAATCTTTTTTATTGATTTTTATAAGATGGAGACATATATAGGAAGTCATGATGGGTACATCGGCACTAATCCTAAGGTTTACAAGAAATTCATGTAGGAGTTTGGAGTTGAAAAGGAATGCAAGAGTGAGAAGGATTGAAGAGTAGTGGAGGCAAAAAGATTCTTCACCTCATAGTTTAGTGCATGTTGATTTAGCATTCTAGAGGGGGTGATGCGAGCTTCATTGTATATGTAGTAGGTGGCTTCTTCTTTAGTGGATTGAAATTGATTGTCAACGGGACGATGAGAGGAAGAGCCTCCTTGGATCATGTAACGTCGATTGCTGCCTATGGCCTGTGGACCTCCGAAAAGAGCACCGCGCGAACGGGTTGATTGGAAGGGCAGATTGGATCGTGCATACGACTAACCATTAAGGATAGAGGCTGTTGCCAACACACCTCGATGGGTAGCAATATACACGACCTAGTCACGGGTTTTCCCCGCTCGATACAAGAGCTCGAGTGGGGTTTAATAGATGTGGGGCCAAGTTTACCACGGGCGCAAGCCCCCGTGGTTAATTACATCACAGGCCGAAGCCCGAGAAAACTCTCGATTAAGGATCATATATTATCCTCTCCTAAAGTGGGATTGGCACGAGGGTATATACTAGGAAATCCTACGCAAATGGAGGAAAGGTCTCAAAGAGGCTCAGTCAACATGCGTGGCTCAAACTAGCATTCGGAGGCTCTAGGGTACTAGAGAGAAACTGAATAAAATAAAAGATCAAGCATCCAATCACATGCGTGAGAGAAGGATTTCAAACAGCATGCAGTGAAAACTACGAAAAGCTCTGGCACACAGCAGAAAATAAACATCCAGCGGCCTAGCCTAAATTTAGAAGTGGTGCCCTAGCAAGCAATTCTATGTGTGTGTAAGGCTTGTGTGGTTTGGATAGATCCTAAGTGGGGTAATTAGTTAAAATTATCTAAAGTTCAGGTTTATTGTAGGCCAGAAAAGGAAAATTTTGTTGAAATTCAAATATTAGTGAATTAGGGTGCATTTTAATTATTTCAGTTTGTTAATCAGTTTTAAGAGTTTAGGATAATGATATTTAAAGTTTAAATTGTATTAACCAATTTTGGAAAGTCCCGAGTCCTTCTAGGAACTAAACTAAGGGTCCAAAAAGTCACTATGGAAAAGAGGCTAGGTTTGGGTTTTCTATCACCTTAGGAAAGTACTAGACCTTAATACGAGTAGTTAGACAAGTAGTAAGAAACCTGTGGACCTCCGAAAAGAGCACCACGCGAACGGGTTGATTGGAAGGACAGATTGGATCGTGCATACGACTAACCATTGAGGATAGAGGCTTTCACCAACACACCTCGATGGGTGGCAATATACACGACCTAGTCACGGGTTTCCCCCATCTGATACAAAGGCTCGAATGGGGTTTAGTAGATGTGGGGCCAAGTTTCCCACGGGCGCAAGCCCCCGTGGTTAATTACATCCC